TGTATATGTATATGTATATGTATATGTATATGTATATGTATATGTATATGTATATGTATATGCATATGCATATGCATATGCATATGTATATGTATGTATGTATGTATACAGTACATTTGACAGTGAATAGTGTGCATTAGTGTGATAGGGTTAGGATACAGCCTGTTGTGCCTTAAGGTGGCGTCTACTATACAGCACAGTGGAGTTGCCATGGTAATGGCTTCATAGTACTCCATAAGGGGCTCCAACCTAATACAGAATTAAGATAAATAAATACCCAGGCAATGCCGGATTATTAGCTAGTTCATTGATAAAACTGCCTTCCTCCATTTATCTATTCCAGATTTTGTTTACTATATCTTACAGTGGTAATTTTATGTATTGTCTATTTGTGTGCTTAAGAGCAATACTGTTTTCAATGAATAATCCTAACTTCTATTTTCTGAGTAAACTAAAATGTTAACAAATGAATAATGCATGATCCATAAGTTAACCTGTTTATTTATCTTTCCTTTTGAAATGAAAAAAATTGAATATTATATAGAAAGAATGAACAAAAGACAAAAGTAGAATAACATCTGCCATATTTGCCCCTTGCTCTAGTAGGGAAAAAACCAAATAATTATTATATTAATTTCTACTACAGCCTAATCTGTTATTTGGACAGATTGAAGTTCCAGTTGATAGAAATAATTAATAATCTAGATGTTAAGGAAATCATGTTATATTCGTTATGGCTATATATAAGAGAACCAAGTTAACCAATCTGGTTCAGTTATGGCTCATTGTGTTTATTCAGTAGATTTCTAAGTAACCTCAAGACATGGTCTTAATTTATATATACAGTAGTAAAATAAAAGCACCATACGTTTATGTTAACAAAATACAATCAGAACCTAATTGCAGTGAGTATTATAAGGCTTTTAAATGTCTTAAAACTCATCCCAATGGGATTGGCCTGTACCACTTGCTCTGGCAGTAGGGGCAACTGCAGACCCATCAGCCAAGACATGTCATCTGATGAAGTTCAGAGAAGAGCCATTTCTGCCATGGCTCATGCCCTTTGGAACATCACACCCCTCTTGGCTTTTCAAAATGGCCTGAAACTCTGGCTCAGGCCCTTTAGAACATGAAGCCCTGGCTTGGAGCCCTGATGGAGGTGCTTTACATTAGAAATGTTTAGTAGATTCAAAGAAAACCCCACCTCCATCCATTAATGTGTTGGTCCCTTTTTATCTTGCTTTTGTTAATTTTTAATGTTTTAATTTTTAAAGCTTAATATTTTGATTTTTCCCATTGTTTTATGATGTTGTGAGTTATCCAGAGTGTTTTGACAGTGAGATAGGTGACATATAAATTTAATAAACAAATAAAAGAAGCCAATTGATAGGTCAAGTCACATATTGCACTAAACCAACAAAGAAAATAATTTGATAGTGGGAAGAAGAGTCTGGAAGTGATGTACTTTTTGAGCTAAGCCTGAATCTTAGAGCAATTTGACTGTAACTTCTTGAGAATCAAAAGTTTCCTTTTTCTCTAATGGCTTCATTCTGGAAATAAAGGCTTGTTTGATCTCCCATGATTATACAACCTACTTGTAGATTTAGAGATGATGGATGGATGGATGGATGGATGGATGGATGGATGGATGGGTAGGTAGGTAGGTAGGTAGGTAGGTAGGTAGGTAGGTAGGTAGGTAGGTAGGTNTAGATAGATAGATAGATAGATAGATAGATAGATAGATAGATAGATAGATAGATAGATAGATAGATAGATAGATAGATAGACGAGTCATTCTTGTGTCTCCTGGTTTTCTAACCTCATGGTCTTTACAGGACATTCAGTGCAATAATCTTATGTATCAGTGGATATATTACAAGTATAAAACAGAAGTAATCCAAGTCATTGCAAATTGGTTGAAACATTGAGTTGGGGATTTTTTAACTGCTTCAATCCAAAAATAATACTTTACAGTTTTCTGGGCATTTTATCCTTGTCCAACAGAGAGGTGAGATAGTCCTATAACTTCTGTAGATTAATACATTAAAAATAAATTATATTTAGTAGGTTAGACAATGTTATTTATTTTGCTAAAGAATCAAATTTTTAAAAATCAAGTTAAAATAGTATAATTTAAAAATCAATAGTTCAAGGGAAGAAGATCATAGATAGATAAGCAATAGCAGACTAGGTTGCTCTAATACCATAACTCTAGTACAGTAAAATGATTGTATAAGTCTTGAAATGTTTCCTAATAATGTCAAAATGCTCATCTAGCAGAAAGTGCATATAATCCTTTGCAGATTAGGTTTCTTTAATGGAAGGAAAGTTGTAAGATCAGAATACAGAATGTCATAGACAAGATGGTCTGGAATTGCATGTGCTAGAGTGTACTTCCTAAACCTGGGTAAATTACCCAAAAATTGGGTAAAAATGGTTTTTCTTTGAGTAGTGACAGACTACGCCATTACCCAATCACAATAGAGATATTTAAATAAGGACTTTGTGATGAGTGATAAAAAGGACTTTCTAATAAGAGGTTTTAGATAATGAAGGAAAAAGTTTGGAAAACACTGTTAGAAACCAAATTTCTTAAATTTCATATTGGCTCAAAGATGAAATGTTATTATCACCTCATCCTCTACGGCCAAGAATAGATAATTAAAACAACTAAGCAAAAAATGGTAAGGGAGAAAGAATAGAGTTGTTTACTGAGCAATTCGAAATGGGAACTATTGTAATTTTAGAGTGACTCTAAAGTGTTGGTTTTGCTAAACATTCAGCTATGGAATAGTTTGTTCTTCAACGTGGACCAACTGCAAATTTAGATAACAAAAAAAAAAAGACTGCAGAATTTTAAGAACCACCAGGATAGGCTGTCAAGAATGGGAACATTATGTTTGAATTGGAGAAAACTGCAGGGACTAGTTCAGGCAATTACCAGAAGTCAACACAAACCTGAAGGCACAGGATGCAGGAAGTTTGAGTACAGAATTTGGACTCTGTAAGTACAGGTTGTACATTCCTATTGACTAACAATCCATATTTTATTTAACGCTGGAATAAGAAATTCTAGAAGAAATCTTGAATTCTGTTGTTAGACGTTAGCAACCTCTAACAAAATAAGCCATACAGAAGTAACAGAAAAATATATTTGCCTAAAGCAAAGTTGAAATTATTGGGCAGGTCTTTTTTATGTCTGCTTTTGCCTAATGATTAATGACAAAGGGTTTTCTGCAGTGGCTGCATGATTCCGATTGGTTCCCAGAGTAATCTGTCATTAAATTTAAATATTAAAAAGATCCTTATGTACCAAGCCTTTTTAAAGTTGAACTACCAGAATAGTTTTCCTGATAGATTTGCTATGCCAAGTTTGATCTTTACTCAGCTTATAACCAAATGTTTTTAGAAAGCGAGAACTGTCATAATGTAGAAAAGTAATTAATAATATTAATAAATGATGTTGTTCACAGCCTTAGGATGTTTGGCTATTTGCTGTTGCTATTATGGTAATTATCATCATTTAATATGAAAAATTAAGTCTCTTAAAAGAGAGCTACACTAGAGATTAGTTCTGAATTAACATGCATAGAATTTTACCTTACACATGGGACAAGGTTACACACTTAAAGGTTGTTTTTAAAAACAATTGTCTATTAAAAGTAATACTGTACCTATTAGCTATAAATAGAGCCACAAAGTAAAAAGGTTGCTATTCATAACAGTAATTGTTATTGATTTGTTGCACAGTCTGCCAGATGTTTAGATCCTGTTTGGCATTTTTTTCAACCTATCAAGCCCTTCCAAAGACTTGGGATAGTTGTGGATGTTTGATGGTGTTAAAAGTATCCTTGCAAGATCTAAATTGTTTGCATTAAGCTGTCTTTTGTAATTGGCCAATGGTCAATGTCACTAGTGTTCAAGTGGTGCGCCAGTTGTTTGGGGATTGCACCCAAGATGCCTATTAATATTGGCACTATTTTCATTTTCTTTTGTCACACTCATTCTGTTTCGACTTGCAGGTCTTTGTATTTTGTTATTTTTTCTAGCTGTTTTTCTTCCATTTTTCTCTCTCCAGGTATTGCCATGTAAACTATCCAGCTTATTTTATCTTTCTGATTGACAATTGTTAAGTCTGGGGTGTTATGTGGCAGGTGCCTCTCTGTTTGAAATTTAAAATTCCAGAGCACTTTAGCTTCTTCATTTTCTATTATTTTATCTATTTTATGGTCCCACTAGTTATTGCTTGCAAAGTGGTGTGTCTTGCGGCGATTCCAATGCACCATTGTGCTACTTTGTCGTGCTGTTGTTTGTAGTCAGTCTACGCAATCTTCTTGCAGCAACTAACCAAGTGGTTGACTGTTTCTTCAGTTTCTTTACAAAAGAGCTACTTTATCAGTTCTGGCTTTGTATGCATTTGCTCTTAAGGCTTGATCTTGTGCAGCCAGAATTAGCACTTTCTTCAATTGATCTGCTCTTAGACTGCTTTTTTATATATTGGCCATATAATATTTTGTCTTTCCATGTCTGTTTTCTGTTCTTCATTTAGTCTTTTTTTGTAGGCCAGCTTGGTCTCTCCAGTATTCAGTAAGCCTTCCTGATATACTACAGGGCGGGGCATAACCTTTTCCTAGGGGGTCACAGCAACACTTGTAATAACAACACAAATAATTCATACACCATTCGAAAGCCCATCAAAAACTGAGTTTATTGACACGATTTAATAGTCAGTATGACCACCATTAGCCCTTCGAACAGCATTCAAACGAGGTGGATAAGAACACAACAAATCTTCAAACAGTTCCGTTCGATTTTCCAGATTTTTCAACAGTTTCCAAATTCATTCTCAAAGTTTCAACCGAATATCGATTTTGACCTTGCTCCTGAATCATCAGAGCTTCCACTTCATCCTTAATTATGGCCCCAATGTTCTCTGCCGGATTGAGATCTGGCGAATTTCCCGGCCAGACGTCATTGCCCCAAAATTCGACATTGTTTTCCTTTAACAATTGCTGACATTCTGTCAATGATCCTTTGTTCTTCCGAATCGAATTTTCCAGCCATTCTTAAAGCAAATTTAACATTTAATAGCTCATTCAATTCAGTTTTTTATGGGCTTTAAAATGAGGTGTCGCGGAAGTTGTAAACTGCTGTCGATCTTGCTGTGACCCCCTAGGAAAAGGTTATGCCCCGCCCTGTAGTTTCAGTGCCTCCCCTTCACTACCTTTCAGATAGTCTTCTGGTGCCTTTTTTCCCCCCTTCAATCTTCTAATATACTACTTGCAACATTCCATAACCACCTATTTTCCTTGGAAAGTAGAGTCTGTCAATAGTGCTGTAAGAATGAAGGTCGTGACTTATTGTCATTATTATTATTTTGGATCTTCATATCCAGGGCTTTTAGTTCTGCTTGAGTCCAATCTACTATCTAATGCCTGGAATTGCCAATGGATTAATTGCCTTGATGGTATTTTCTCCACTAAGTTTGGATATTAAGATCTTCTTTACTCTCTTGATGTATTCATCTCTAACCTTTTTCTTGACTTAAGTGTGCTTGATGTCAGCCTGAAGGAGGCCTAGATATTTGTTGAAGATATTTGTCTTCATTCAGACTTTTGATGTTATTTCTATAGCATCTTGATTCATTCAGTTTTCACTATTTTTCTCATTTAATGGCAAGCATGGCACATTTGTTTAGTCCAAATTCTATTGCAATACCTTGAACAGTGTAGAGCAAAAATAGCAGTAGCTACTTTAGATGAGATTCTTCCATACAGCTTCAGATCATCCATGTAAAGGAGGATGTAAACCCTGGCAGATATTTTTATATTTGATAGCTATGGTCTGACTTGCTCAGTATGATTGACAGAAGAATCTGTGCAATGATAAAACAGTAGTGGTGATAGTGAGTCTCTTTGAAAAATTCTCTTTTGATACTAACCTCTCCCAATCTATCAACATTGACCAGCAACCGTATCAATTGTGCCATCAATCTTTGCAGAGAAATTGTGATGTTTGTACTGATTCCTGCTATTTCTAGGTACTTGGTTATTCAATTTTATGAAGCGAGTTGAATGACTTCTTGTAATCAATCCACACTACGTTCAAATTGGTCAACCTTTTCTTGCAGTTTTCCAGAATCATCTTGTCGATTAACTATTGATCCTTTGTTCTTCTTGTGTTTGGGCGGTTTCCCTTCTGTTCAGAAAAGGGAATCTTCTTCATGCTTTGGAGGCCCAGGCAGGCACTGGTTGGCCTTTGATCTATCATAGCAGGCTTTGTTTTTCGATTTTACACATTGGATGTTGAAAATAATCCCAAAAGGAACAGAATATACATCCACATGCTGTTCAATTCATAGAGAAGTTATTCACATCACTTGTCACTTTTCTCCAAAAATAATCACAATACTTTTTTCTCCTTTTGGAGATATTGTGGATCTATATTTATACCACCCTTGTATGCCACATCCTTGCATCAGGTTGGTGTTATCTAAAGCAAACTGCTGTCAACTGTAGTATAAAAACTTCCTTTCCTCTCTTAAAATCTCTGATAGATCACTCTTTCAGTGTCTATGTATCCCCCTTCATTTTTATTGCAAATGAATCAGTAAAAAATTATCATAATCATGGGGGGTGTACCTTGATTATCTATTATTGTTTGCTGCCATTTCCATTTCCTTTGGTGATGGGATTTAGGGGTCCAAATAATGATTCCCTTGTCTGCACACTTTGCCTGCCAGACTGATGCACCTGTCTGGGCAACTAAATAGCTTTGCTGAGAAATACGATCACCTTCAAACTTCAATCTCTTTCTCGTCCCATACTTCTTGATAGCCAGCTCTGGGGAAAATATCTTTCACAACCACAGGGATAAAAGAACAATGCTTATATTATAGATTATAGCTGTGGTCAATTCTATATATATATATAGAATTAGATTATACTTTTCCTTATCTTTTTCACTTTTGTAGTTCTTACTCTAACCTTTTTCCACTATTTACAATTATTGTGAACATTTAAACATGAGAGTTAGCGAAAACCAGCAGAAACAAATTTCTTTAAAGCAGAATGTAATAGAAATGGTTTCCAGCAGTATTCTCTCAATCTGAGTATTAAACAAGTGCTGGTTTTGACTTGGCCCTTGAGACATCACGCAATTATTGAAATGTTACTTCCTCAAGCTCCGTTTCCTATCACAGCATAAATTATCTTCCACATCAGCGATTTATAGAGAAGCACGAGGTTCTTGAGAAGTTTATAGTGTTTTTCCAGTTGCAAGATCTGTAATGGCTGACACATTTCTATGAAAGCTTGCCCAACAATGTCTTTTTGCAACAACTTTCAGCTTGTAGAGAAGACTGACACAACTTACAGAGAAGAATGGGCCATTGCCACATTAAAAATAATTGCAGGCCCCAGAGGAATAGGTGACATCCTGATCAGTTGCTTCACAGCATAAAAACCTCAATGGAATTAGCATTGTAGAAGGTGCTAAGGAAAGGTTTTACCCCTTAACCATTACCACCAGCAGAATTCTTTGCCATTTTCAGCTGAAGGTGGAGAGGAAATAACTAGTGTCATTTAGACAAGAGAAGGTCCCTGTACAGATACTTGAGCAATTGCATTCCAGTCTCAGGGCTGGGAAAGTCATGACTAAGAATCCATTAGCTTGTAATGGCAGGAAAAAAAACTTATAATTTTAAATTTCAGAGCCAACATATAGGCTTGATTTTTGTGTTCTGCAGCAGGGCCTGCATTGTGTCTATAATATATGACACATCTAGCAGTATCAAATCCTCAAAGGTTCTATTTTTAGCTAGTTCTTGACTAAGGACTGAGGTTTTGGAGGAGCAGAGTTTTATAGCCATGCGTGACCCAAATTTGACAGATGAGGACATTTCCTCAGCAAACAAGCAAATGTTCTATGGTGCTATGAAGGCAGTTTTTGGAAAGCACAAAGACAATTTTACATGCCTGGCTCTCAGAGCACCAGCTAACTTGGCTCCATTTATCTTCACATCCTTCCCCTCTCTAGATGGATCCAGTACAAAAGGCAGTAATCAACCATACCTTTGGTGTTCCCAATCCACTTAAGAAGAAGCAGTTCATCTCTTGTAATATTTGTCATCTGAGATTCAACTCTGCGGTAAGCTACATCCCATAAACATTAGGATCAAGCAGATAGGAAGGCAAAAGGAAGAGGAGAACTACAATATAGATAGCTATGTCAATTTTGCTTATGAGGGCACAACAGTTCACGTCTTGTTTTAGTGTTCAAAGCGCCTAATTTAATAATTTGTGAGGAAGGTCATGATTAGCAATGCCTTCCATATTCTACAGTCCCAAGGCTGAAACTGTCTTAAAGCTGAATTTGTGGTAGTCTTTGGCAAAGATGAGACTTGGGTTGGTGTAGGCCTGATTTATGGTTCCCTTAGATTCACAGAGCACAAAGCACAGCAAGTCATATTAACAAGTCTCATCAAAGAAAGAACATCCACTGCAGACAGTGCTATCAAGACATTGTTTAATGCACTATCCAAATCAAGATCTCGTGCTTCTTCCTCTACGTTTCTTCCCCTAAAATGTTGCAAGGGGAACAAATTAGAATCCTAACTATTGGATGATTTATTTAACAAAGTATGGATAAAGACTCTTGGTTTGTCCCCATGCTCCCTCATTGAAAGGGCCCACTGTCACCAAAAAAAGCATGATACTTTGCTTGCATATAAGCCATAAAATATTGTGTATCGTATAATGCATGCAAGTTCATTGGATGTCAATTCTTTCATCTCTTTTGGGGGAAAAACAGATATCATACATTTTTGCAGGAAATAATCTTTTCTTGCTGTTCTACCACCTGTGTTTATTTCCTTTTGTTTTTGAGGTGGGGGGGTGAAAAGAGAAGCAGCCTCTTAAGGGCTTTGCAAAGGGAAACCATACATTGGTGTTCTCCTTTATTTTGCATTCAAGAAGTCAGGCTGGCAGCTTGTACAGAAAAGTGTTTTATCTGGGAGACACATTTCATTGGTTTTCAGCCGGTGTGCGTTACTTGAATCTGGCCAAAAGAAGGGACTGCAGTACACAGCCCATATTATCCAGTTGGTGCAGTTCGGCATTGTGCCCAGGGTCTCCTTTTTTATATAAAAGCTGTGACCAAAAAAAAAAAATCCTGGGCAGATTTTTTTTTTTAATTTCATGCTATTCTAAAACATTATCTAAATTCACTCATTCAAAGTAACATAGTTCTGTATAGTTTTAAAGGGGGCATAATTATTTATTTATGTAGATTTATTAGAACCAACCAACAGGGTAATGTTCCTTGACTAATACAAATCTTAATGTCGTATATTTTCCTGTACTTTCTACAAAATTATTTGAGATAATTTGATCACTCCTCTACTCATAGAAATTAATATGCAAGCTAAAAGGTACCCACAAAGGGCCTGTGAAACAGGAGCATCTAAGGTTTACCAGATTTATTTTGGATTGGCTACAGATAAACTAACCAAGGAAATATCTAGATGCAAGGAGAACAAAAATATCAAGCAGTGCTTCTTTGTCCCAATAAAAGCCTGCCCATAATCTGAGTTACTAACTGACCTTCAGCACTACCCCATTTGAACCGTGTGGGCCCTCTAGCAAAGCATTACGTCCTCTGTTTTCATTTTGTACATGTACACACGCACGCACATATACCCACACCCCCTTCGCCGTCAGGCTCCTGTTTCATCTGATGACTTTCACTCCCTCCCTGCCTCATGCTGTGCATCCATATAATTCAATTCCTGGCATTGTTCATTGCCTGGCGAAATGGAGATAAGACACGTTGCCCCTGATTAAATGCAGCCCATTTCTTGTTTCAAAAAGCGCTTTTGGGCAAAAAAAAAAAAAAGGAAAATTAAAATATGCAGCTTCAGAAAAAAAATATGCAGTAGGCAGTTTTGCAACACAAAAATAAAATAATATAACTAAATATATTCACTTGAAGTAGAGGGGAAGAGAACAACATAAATGACAACTATTGTCCCTTCCTGGAATGCAGAGCTAACATGAAGTCTATATTCCTAGGCAGCCATGCCAGTTCTGCATATATGTGTGAGTTTACATTTTTTTTTCTTTCCTGTGTCCAGGTCCTTTAGCTTTTCAGAGAAAAGAATGAATAACTAAAGTATGTGTTAATGTCCTCTGCCTGTTCACTGCTGATAAAATATTTTTTTTAAAAAAATACAAAAGACTACAATGTATTCCCCCCCCCCTTGTCCAAAAGCCTGTGTACTTAGCAGTCAAAGACAGTTTTCCTGATTCTCACTACAATGAATGGCTCTCTGGCAAATTCATGTGAATTTAAGTCCAATCTGAATTGAAATGAGGGTGTTACATTAGTTTGCATAATGGCTGAAGAAAGAAATAGAAGTGCTCAATGCCCAAAAAGGAGAGGTGTGGAAAATTCCCTCTTGCTCTTTTCATGTGTTTTTTTTTTGTTTTGATGGGAGATGTTTAGTTAATGCATGAAATCACATTGTTATCCTCACATTCTTAAAAGACCCACTTCACTTGTACACTCACTGTCTTTCACTTGGCCTGCCTATCTATATAGCTTTTTCCAAAGGCTCAAATAGGAGGAAGATGTACACAGAAAGATTATTTCTGTGCTGCTCCTCAATACTGAGAGGAAAAAAAGGAAATGGAGAAAACTGGGGGGAAATAGCAAGGTAGTTGGGGGAAAATGTCATCTGCTGCTTCAGCAGGGAGATAACCAGGCTTCAAAGTGCTCTCTACAAACTAGAAAAATGGGCTTTGCAAATCATTTTGCATTATAGTCTCTCTTTGATCTTCCGTAATATGGAATGGCCTTAATACTCTTCTCCATCACTCAACACTCCCCTCCCATTTATCTCTCTCAGAATCAAGCTGAGGCACATTACAGAGGCCACAAGCATGCCCGGAGACTCAAAGCCATTGAAGCAGTGAAAAATAAGCACAAGACAGCTGACAATAGCAGCAGCAGCCAAGAAAAAATGGCTAACTTTGAAGCTGCACTAGATATCAGCAGAGACACCACCACCAACAGCAGCAGAGGTAAGGGGAAAGCTGATCTAGGAAGAGGCATTTTTCTAGGTAGATTTTAGTTTGGGAAATTTTCATATTTTCCTGTAATTGACCTCTTCTGTTGCGTAGCAGAAGAATAATCTTAGCTGAGATGCCACTATAATGGAAGGAAATGCTAGTTACCTTAAAGGCTAGTTAATCTTAAAACCACGATTTAGAGGAAAATAAATCTCTTCCTTTTTTATTAGCACAACCCAGTAGCTTGCTAGGATTGAGTCAACCAATGGCAGAACATTGCAACCTCATGCTGATGTCCCCGACAGAGGAATCACCAGCCAAGATACCTACTGGCGTCCTGTCCCTGGTGTCCCCATCAGTTTCAGAGCCCTTGGAAGTTGCTTCAGATAGTGCAAGTGTGAGACCAGCAGCAGCAGCTGGTATGGAGGTGCCAGCAACTGAATCTGGAGGAACCGCCGGCTCAGCAGCAGAGGTGGAGAAAGAGGGAAAGAAAATCAAGCAGCACTTGTACTGTCCCACTTGCAAAGTAACAGTTAACTCTGCCTCTCAGTTGGAGGCTCATAATTCTGGTAAGGAGCCTTCACGTGGGTTTTTTCCAGCTACCCCATAAAAGGCCAAGCTAGATGTATAATGTGTCAACCACTGCTGTAAAAGATACGACATCTGGAGCCTATTGCATGTAACTCATGATAATTCACTTTCAGAGGCATCTGCAGGATGCAAGGCTTTTGGCAAAACAATGAAATCAGAGTCACAATGCAAAATTCCCACCTTTTGTACATGCATGCATCATCATGATACATATACAAAAGAGGGAGACCTTGCATCACCATGGTGCAGGACTCTTTTCATTATTTGCCTTCTTGCCCACTCCAATATCTCTGTTCATTTCACCTCCCAAAAGCATTTGTCTTGGTAGAGATACTGGATCAAGGTAGTTCCATGGTAGCAGTAAGAGGGATAAGTTACTCTTCTTCCTCGACAGAAAATGTTGAATGCTACCAAAAATACACCATCTTGCCTCATTGATATTGATAGACTTTAATAACTGAAGCTGACAAAAACCATAATGAAAACTTCCCCAATCTGGCATCCTTCAGATCTTCTGGGATTGGAACTCCCAGAATTCTCAATACGTGCAGAGGCTGCCACCTAGAGAAGGTAACCTATTAATCTATTTTTATTCCCAATGAACAGATTTTGTTTCAGTTAACTAAGTTCTGTGCTAAAAACATACATGTCTGACTTTGGGGATTCTTAATCAAAACCTAACAATTACTAAATATTTGTTTTGTTCATTAGTAGATTTTTTTATTTTAGCATTCTTTCAGCAGACATGATGATAGGCTATCCATAGAATAGAAGAGATACAGTAATATGAAAGCCATGAGAAGCAGGTATGTTGAAATCAGGAGTCATTTACAGATACTGCCTGCCAGATATTACAATAACTGTGTACTTTGTCACTTGAGTAAAATGAAATGTATTCAAAAGCTTGAGAGTTTTACAAACTCGTTGCTTTCTGAATCCAAAAATGATTGGACAAATAGGTTTGTTTTTTACTGACGTATTTATCATCTGTTGATTGCATATTTCTTGAAAAGAACTGGGATTCCAAGTTCTATCTGTATTCTTTTCTGTTCTCAAAGAAAGAACAACTGTATTTTTCTATACTTACATGATGCATTGTAAGATCCCTTTGTAGCAAGCCAATTAAGCCAAGAAGCTGTAATATTTCCTTTATTTTACATATACATACATACAGTACATACATACATACATACATACATACACGCATACATAACAAATTTTGACTTTCTATTTTGCTTAGTAAAAAAATTTTTTTCCCCACCTTCAGCATCTTTCAATTATTTCAGTGTTTCTTTTCTTATCTCCCCTGATTTGATGATTGCTTAACATGCTTGACACTGTAGTTCAATACACCTTGAGTACACTAAGCTAAAGTAGATTAGAAGAAAGTTAATGAACTTGAAAGCCTCCTTGCTATTGTAAAACTTTTGGATTTTATTCTGTATTGTTATTTTCAAATTGTAGAATTTTCTGTCTATAAAACAATGAGCTGCTTCATTTTGACTCTTAATTTTTAAGGCTGTCATTTTGTTAAGTCTTACATTTTCAGGCAAAACAAAGAATTACAATGATAAGGATAATTAAAATAAACAAAAATCAATTCATTTGGGATTTGACCTTGTCTTACTTGCTATCTCTATTTCACATAATAATAATAATAATAACAATAATAATAATAATAATAATAATAATAATAACAACAACAACAACAACAACAATAACAACAATAACAACAACAATAACAACAATAACAACAATAATAATAATACATTTTTAAAAGGTACTCGGTTGATACCTAGGATGCTGGCAGCAATTCATATCAACCATCAGTACTAGTCAATGGTATTTGTGATACATGTTCAGTTGACTGAGTTTCATGTTTAATGAATAAAGTAAATAACAATAATAACAACAAACAAACAAACAAAGGTGATCCCTACATGGTGCAATTGTCAGAAAGGCAAGATAAGATAATAAAACCTTTTTAAAAAATAGATTATCATAAAAGAATACATAAACTTATACCATTCTTTCTAGCCTGTTGCCTTAACTATTATTTGCACCCAAACGATATATTAAATTTAACAATATAGTAAGATGCATAAAAAGTGCATTTAACAAGGAAACAAAAACAAAAATATAACATATAATGCAGATGTTGTGTCAGAGACCTGACCTAGGATTTTCATATAGCCAACTTGACTTTGGCGTCATGGCATTGCCCCATCCTATTGATAACTGGTGGTGTCTGCCTCTTAGACCACTTCCTGCTTACCAAGGTGCAAGAAGCAAGTTTCCTTTTTTGTTCCCAACTCATCTTCTCTTCCCCACACCTAGGAGCAAAGCACAAATTGATGCTGGAAGGGCAGACTGTTTTGCCAAGGCGAAGCCGAGGGAAGGTTCTCTCTCGAGCAGGACACAAACCCAAACGGATTGGCAGTAAGGGCAGCCTCAACATTCAGAACAAGGCCTTCCAATGCCAGGTGTGCGAGATCTTTGTCAACTCAGAGACACAACTCAAACAGGTAAGCACATCAACATAAACAGCTCCTCTGATTGTCTGGAGGACTGTAAAGAGAGTCATGCTGAATTTTGGATATTTTTGAAGGAAGCATTTTAAGATGGAAAGAAAAAGGGAAATAGAGAAATAATCTTAACTCCCTACTTTTACCCCCACATTTCAGCTTAGGCCTTTTATTAAGTATCCATTAAGGTATTTAATGAAGTTAAGAGATGAAATTACATTGCAAGCAGAAATTTTACTATTCTGTACTGTGGGCTAAAGCGAGGGTTGCATTAAGACACCTGAAGCATCATCTCAACAGTTCTTGTAAAATAAGCAAAGTCACATCTTAAAGGGCAATCAGGGTGGAAAAGGAACATGGAAGGCCAGCTGCTTATGCCTTAAATTTTTCTGCTCCTAATGTTATCCTAGACTAGGCAGTTTTCCACTCTACATTTGAAGTTTGTACAATATTTGCCTTCCAGAAAATCCTACACAAATGACTTTTCCAATGACAAGAGAATGATGAAAGTTAATGCGTTCTTTATAAAGTTTCTAATTGATTAATTAATTGGAAATGCTTTGTGCAACCTGAGCAAAAGTAACAGAAAGGCTAAAAAGCAGCAGCATACCAAGAACAAAAGCAACAATACCGAGAACCCTTTATTCTACTGACCCCATTTAATGGACATCAGATGTAAGATTTCTGTCTCAACAACTTCCTGAAATAACAGACAAATCTTTTCAGTCCAAAGCAGTCCATGCTAAATGTTACATTTACATTACATTTACATTAATTTCATGCCATCATGTTGATTTACCTTATTTACATAATGACCTGAATATATTAATAGTGGAAATTACATCATTTGCATTTATTTACGTCATTTGTGTAATAACATCATTACCCAAATAATGTCATTCACGTCAAAGTGTATCGTTTGCATAATGACATAATGACACAAATCACCATAAATGATGTAATTTGCAATTTAATCACCATTGAGGAATAATAGACACCCTCCCCCAGTGGGGAGCTTTTACTGTATTAGTAGCATCTCTGGTAACTACGAATTGATACACACACACAGAGTAAATAGCAACTTAACTCTTCAGACAGTTTTTAAAAAGTTGCCACACAAGAACAGAATTTCAAAATAACCAGCAAGAAGAGAAAGCATACTGTTAGAGGGGAGCATTTGCACCTTTATAGAGCAAGAGAATATTTAAAAAGGAAACATTTGATTCCTTTTTAAGTAAGGAGTAAGGAAACATCATAGAAAAGATTTGGAGACCATTCAAGAAGCTGGGTGCAGTTGAGAAGATTCTTTTTTAGAGATAAATACAGCACAAATGCTGGTAACAGAGACACAAGAACCTCGCTGGCAATCCTCAACATTTGGGCAGGCTAAGCTGATATAAGAATATTTCAATTATCCCAGTTAGTTTTCATTTCAGCCACTCAGATTAGGAAAGAATGCACTCTAGAAATTGACATCTGGGGTGCCATCTTGAAGTTTTTTGCCATAAGCAAGAAAATGTAGCAATAAATTACTTTCTGCTAGCTTCTTATTTTGTGCTTCCCTTCTTTAAAGTCTTATCTTAGTAGTAATAAACAATATAAGGAATGCAGATATCATTAAAATTCAAACAATTAATTAATGTTGTTACTCTTCAGTTTTTGGTCTCAGCACAATTATTGTAAAATTCCAATATTTGTTTCCAGCAGGATATAGACAACTAATGTCTAGATAAACAGGAAAAAGAAAGGAAGTACAAAATAGGAGGATAATAGAATGTAAGTGATTCACTTTAAATTTAAACAGAGCATTTTGAATATTAATTATTCAATATATGTATAAATATATATATATGAATGAATTTATATATAAATATAAATATAATTAATAAAGTTAATTATCCTGCTCTGTATTTATCTTATTAAGGAAAAGATTCAAAGACAGATACATATATAGTTCTCGCCACCAAGACACCGTGGTATCTATCAGGAGACAAAAGTTTCAGAGCAAATGATCAAAAATAAGAGAGGTCAAAGTGATATCAAGCAGCTTGTCATATTGATCCTGTTGGTCCAGACTGAAACAGAACAGATATTTCAGCATAATTGAAGACACATCTTCCAGGTCCTTCATCAAATAAAAACACAGAATAGTCTAAAGAACTGTCATTAGAAAGTTTACTAAAGGTGACAAAAGAATATTGAGGTGCTTTTATACATTGATAATGGTGGGAGCTTTTGTTTTTTTCATCTACAGCACATGAGCAGTAGACGTCACAAAGACAGGCTTGCAGGGAAGCCACCAAAGCCCAAATACAGCCCGTACAGCAAACTGCAGAAGAATACTGCCCTGGCAGTGAGTATTCTCAAGGTATTTGTCACAGAAGGTGCCAGGTAACTCTGTGGTGTGTGGAAAATGTGGGGGACAATAAGGAATTTCCCTGGTGTCTTAATTATTCTTCAAACTTCAGTCACCCACTCAGTGGAGAATTCTGAACATTAAACTGTCTCATCCTACCACAAAATTGCAGACAGTGCTGCTCTCAGCAACATTTGGAAATTAGAGTGAGAGACAACTGCTTGCATGAGAGGAAACAAGAAGAGCAGTGGGACAGATCAGATCAAGAGGTTACAATTCCTAGAATTCCCTTTTCTCTTTATACATCGTCTTGTAGTGCATAATTAATTTAGCGGAAGTAATTGTAGCAGGACTGTTAGAGTAGCTGTGACACCAGATAGCTGTTTAAAAAGTACTGGGCAAATACATGGATAGATCTACCACTGTTTGTGTATAAATGAAAAACCCTCCTGGAGCTGTTGAACACCAACAAGAGGTAGACTCTCCTTTTTTTAAAAAAAGGAGGGGCTTTATATTCTTAACAGGAAAAACCATTTTAAAGGAGAAGAAAAGCTACAGCTNAGTTGTTTGCTTTTCTAGTTATACCACAACCTTAGTCTCCTACACATATACATGTACAATTCAATACGACACCACTACACTTGGGCCAGTGTGGACAATAGATGGATATTTGAGCTGATTCAATAGGGCAACTTGCTATATTCTTTTAAACTTCACCCTACTCTAAAAGTAAAAGAATTTTTTTCACAATAAAGTCATATAGTATTGCTGTCAGCCAGGGACAGAGAATATGTGGTTATCCAGATGATGTGAAAATATAATTCACAGCATCCATTCGTTGCATTGTTGAAATTTACCTAGCAACATTTGGAAGGCTTCATACTGGCCATTCTTATTTATAGTATTTGCATTTATAGTATTCTCAAAGTACTATTAATTCATCTACTTCAGAGCTGAATCAAGCTATCATATAAGTTTTGATCCTGAAGCCCCTGGTTTAAATTATTTACTGCAATATTAAAGCAAATCTTCTCTATGTTCCCCTTGTCTATTGAAGCTGCTTTGCTCATATACCATGTATATCTCTTTTTGCTTCTTCCCTGTCCTTCATTCTCACTCTTCACAGTCCAAAGTGGCTCTGCAGAAGCATCTTACGAAGACCTTGGCTGCCCGGTTCCTGCCAAGTCCTCTGGCACCCGCCACTGTGTGTACTTTGCCCAGCCCATTAACTCTCCGACCAGCTGCTGCTACCCTCTTCCAAGCACCCATCTTTGGACCAGCACTTTTTCGATCTCCCCCAGGCCCTGTGCGAGCAGCTACAGGCCCCATTGTTTTTGCCCCTTACTAGAGAAACCCCAAAGGTTGTTTAGGTGGGGAATTGTAGACCATAGCTGTACAAAGAAAATTGGAGAGGGCTGTATTCTGAACAAAGGAAAAGCAGAATCTTTGAACTGTTTGAAGTGGAACTTCTTTGTTTGTTTGTTTGTTTGAGATTTCCACTTATGTCATTAACTCAATTATACTTGGAAATAACTTTCCTATTGTCTGATTCTCCCACAATGCACCAATCTTTCTAACTAGTAGTATACCTAGAAGCACAATCTCACTTATCCAGATGGTCATGTGGTAAAGTCAAAAGTATACATTCAAAATATCTGTGAACTTAAAAGTATCTGTCCTTTTAAAACAGAATTATATTAATTAGGAATTTGTGCAATTGGAACTCCAAAGAAGCTTCTTTTCCAAAATGCACCTTTATGAAAATCAGATTTGCAGTTTCTAATTCAATTTACATTCCCCTTCCCACAATTGCAGATTTAAGGAAAACAGTAATAATTGATAAATATGTATTGTACTCCTTGTAAGTTACTAAGATATCACTATGTCTCATAAAGGAACTGAAATAGGTTTTTGAATTGAAGGAGAGAAAGGAGAAGAGAATATCTGTTGGGCACAAGAGAGAGAGAATAAGAAAAGTGCTGTTATGTAGGTAGAAAAATGTACGTACGTTAGAGGGTTTTTTGCTTATGTATGAAATAAGAATGGGATTTAAAGAAAGAAGGGTATAAGGATAGAATTTTTTCAGATCTTAAGTCAGCCTTTCCCAGTTGGGTATTCTTTCAGCTATATTGACAAGATCCAGAATTTTGAGCCAACCTGAGAATTCTTATAGTTTCAACATAACCAAAAGATACCCTAGTGGGAAAGACTGTTTGGAGACTATCTTTATAGATATTATGGTGTGTATTGTCTAAGGTGAAGGAGTGGTACTGGTAAGAATATGGAACCCTGTAGAAAATGCACAATATGATTCACACATAATTGCCATGTGTCCTTGAATATTTGAAACTACTTATTTCCCAATTTCTGTTATCATATTCATGATAGTCTAAAGGAACAATCCATTGCTGGTATCTACTTAAACCTACTGAATGAAGAAGAAAGACGAGCCAGGATTTCCATGATGACGTCATTCATAGAAGGATTAATGTCAGCAATGTCAAAGTAGTAGAGTTCAAGTTTGAGGACAGCTGGATTTCATATTTTAGGAGCAAAATCCAAAGCATTAAAATTACTCTATTAGAAATATGTTACTAATCACTAATTCCAATATAATGCTTTTGAATTTAATGAATTTATTACAAGTATGCATATTGCAATTTTGTGAAAATGAGCTAATACTGCTTACTCTCAGATAATATTGTATGCTGCAGTTTTCTGGAGCTTTTTGGTTGACTGAAAAAAAATGTACCTAGTTCATAAATATCTAGGACTGTAGTAATGGGTCAGAGATTGCTGCCCTATTTCCTATTGCAATGCATAGGATGTTGCTGCTCACAAACCAAATTCCATAAGACTGAAAGTTGGAAAAGATGTATATACAATAGCCATTCACTTCAGCAAATGAAGCAAGCCATGGACAATCTTCCAATATTATTAGTTATTGGATATAGGAGTTTATTTTTTCACTTGCCTAAGTTATGGATATCAGTCAAATACAAAGCATAACTAAAATCTATTGGCTGAAGCTTTCTTCAGTTTTGCTTGCAGCTGTAATAATTCCTGACACCTTAAGAGAAATAAGGGATTTTTTTCCAGGGCAGTTCTTTAGATTTGGCTCATTTTAGGGGGAGTGGGTGCCTATAGTAATGGGCTGCAGAGATTTGGCAGAATACTTTTGCTACTCTAGGAAAGAAAAGCAGGGAATTTTATCTTATGTGAGGGACCTCAACTAAGAAGTTTGACCTGTATAACAACAGGTGACAATTTACCAAACGCAGGAGGGTATTTAACTACTTGTTTAGTGGCTGGTTGGTTGTGTCATCCTGGAATGAATGTTCCCTGTTACTTGGCAGAACATTTCAGAATATCACTTTACTGTGTGTTGATATGTGGCCACAGAAGCAATAGAATAAATACAGGAAAAGGAAAGCAGATAAAAAAAATCTGTTAGACAGCCACAAATGAAATAGTAGATGGCTCAAGACATTTTGAGTTAACACTATGAGCAAACTTTGTTGAGGAATAATTGGCAGATCCAGTAGGATATCAAATTCGAGATCATCCCTTTCTCAAAATCTTTCCTCGTTCCTGCAGTTCTAGATAATTGTACAAGCAAGTCTTCTCGAACTGGTGCTTTCAAGATGTATTGAGCCAAATTATATGCTGGATGAAAATAAGAGTTTTAAGTTCTGACATATCTGGGGAGTATCTTATTAGGAAGGCATGTTTAAGCTAATTGCACCAAATGTTTCATACTCCAGATTGCTTTTCAGGATTCTCTTTACTTTTTTCCTTTGGAACCCTCTGTTCCTTAAAACCAGCCTTAACTCAAAATCTGGAACTATTGGACGCTACAGGCAAGCCATAGAAAAAGACCATGATTGTCATACCATTCTTATAAACTTTCCAGAAGTCTAAAGTCTGACCATTATTGAGGTTCCTCAGTGCCAATTCTATTATATCATGCAACTAATCACTTTAGCAAGACATCCTGTAGTTTTTTCCCCTTTGATCCAGTATATTAGTAAATATAAATCTCATAAACCTGTCAACTGAAGCACATCCTAAATACAAAGCTAACCAGTGGCCAGAGAGCATTATTGGATAGAGCTGAAATAAAACAAGCAATTATTGATGGCCACAACTAAGTGATGAAACATTCCAATCTATGCAAAATACTAATGGAATGGTTGTTATTTGGTTTCCAGGCCTGTGTTATGGTTGTTTTGTATCCAAAAGGCAAGGATGAGATCTGTGGCCAAAATCTATACATAAAAAACAAAGGTATTGCTGTCACAGTGATCTTGTAGATATGAAATGTTCCTTTTCATTGTAGAACAGCAACATCCCTTTCTTTTTATTAGATATGGAAATATGCCAATTGGTTTAGCCTGCTGAAATATAGGTATTGCCATGAGGAGCAGTGTACTACTAGCTGCCTAAAATGTGGTAGAGTTGAAGAGGTCTGTCCGAGAACAAGTAAATTGTCTGTCAGTCCATTTGCAATGCAGCCTAGTTACCTTAAATTATGTGAAATAGACACAAAAATATATATTGTTTTTGATTTAACATTTATAGTTCCGGGAGATCCACTTGAAATCATCCATAGTTTGTTTAAGACAAATACTTTTCCAAGTTTGAGTGGGGAACAATAACTACTTATAGGAGTAAAAATGGTTGTTGTTATCTGAATAACACCCATGATCTCACCAAAGCATATAACTTGCAAGTCAGCTTTGCAAGTATGTCTATAAGAATGAGGAAAACAAAGGGTGAAACAAATATGTGATATTTGGGGGGGGGGGGGGGTTCCTGATGGATTCATGGGGAAAAGTGCAAGATGGTCTAATGTCCAAACATTCAGCTTAATATAATGTATATCTTTTCTTGCAAAGTTAGATTCATTCTTTAAAAATAATAGCTTTCTTCATCTGTAGAATATTGTCATAAAATTGTTTATGCTTTTTTGTGTTGAATAGTAACTGCTTCCTAAGGCAGTTACCTTCTGGAGGAAAATATGCAAACCTGCTCAGAATTCAACTAACACCCACATAAAATTGCTGTATATTCACCAAACCTCTGTTTCCAGCTGCTCTTAAAGGTACTTCCTAAATACTGTACTTTCCAATCTGAAACACTCAGTTTGTAGCTGAAAGAAATTTTGCTAGATTGCACTAATTTGTTTAGCTTGCTCATTTCATTATAGGTTTTGTAAATATGGTGGCAGTTTCATTTCAGGGGGCATGTTTCTTCATAATTCCAGCAGTTTTCTGCAAGTAGGCTGGTGATAGAAAAATAACTCTCCGCAAATAATATTTGACAAGAGGCAAAGAGAGGCAGAAATGGGAATAGGAACAGCTATAGAGAACTCAAAGTTACCAGATGTCATCATCTAATAACACCACTTAACATTTCTCTCCCTTGGCTTTTCTCCCCAAGCATAAAATAGAATCTTTCTTTTGCTTTTAATCTCAGCATCTCAGGATTGCGCAACACCTGCCCAGATGAATCCCCAATAATCCTGAAACTATCTGAAAATATTGGAAAATATTCTGTCAATTTAGCCCGGAGAGCTTCAGATGGGAAACTATTGCCATAGTTAGCTATTTCTAACTTTTCCGGGTTCCAGTAAGATTTATAGCGCCATCCTGTGCATGCTTTCCGAGATTCATGTTAAGTTCAGTGCAACTTCTGATTCCGTAATTTTGTTTAGGATTACAGCCTTGACAAATGCTGGCTTAAATTACAGCAGGAAAAGTGGATGTGGGTAGATTAAACATTATAGGAATTTGCAAGGAAATCTATGCTTGAACCAGAGAATTGAATCAAACCAGGTATAGAGGACTCTAATGCTTATGATAGATTCATTTCAAGGTTCTTGCCAATGTTCTCTGTTGTTTAATGTTAGTCTGCTTCAATTTCCCTCAAGACTGTGCTGCTTCATACCAGGCATATTTTCATAATACAAGTAATTAAAAGAATAGGAAATGTATAATTATTTTTTTAAAGTGCCTTATTCAATTGGGCAGATTTTAAAAAATGATTGCAAAAACAATGTGCTTCCCCCTCATTCTCGTATCTTGTGTATCATCTATACAGATTTATGCATATTTAGCTAATAAGATTCTGTAATATGGTAGCAATATTAGAGATGACCTTCTTATAACAAAAAATATTTGTCTTGTTCTGCATGAAATACATTGTGATTAGGTTACTATCTCAGCTGCTACTGCTAATATTATTCTATCTGTATAATAAGATGGAAATATTTTACTGGGCTTATAGGTCATTTTAATTATTATTGAGTCCAAGAGGCATATTTACCTGACATTTGTAAATCAGATTCAAACATATGGATACAGTCATAAAATCAGAAACATATTAATGTACATAAATACTAGGTGTATTTATTATAGTAATTTTTTTTAAAAAAACTAAAGGATCTTAACAATGCCCCAACTGCCAAAGCCAGCCAAATTTTAATGGTCTTCTTAAAAGCCAATAAAGTAAGAGCTATTTGACTTTTTGGGGAAATGTCTCTATGTTCATTTAAAAAATAAATAAAACTTCAGTGTTATATACTCAATATAAATATGTAAATAATTGCAGCAGCTACTTGTTTGTGCTATGTAATTCACATTCAGGTAATCAAAAAGGAAATTTGTAAATTGGGAAAAAATGGTTTTCCTTCCCTGCTAACTTCTCAGATAGCCAAAGCACTATAGACTAAAGAGAGAAATAAAATTGGTTGGTGGGGTGGGACCCAAACCCTTAATAAGTTAGGATGTTGCATTTCTTCATGTAGTGAGTTATTGATATTGCAAAGGACTAGTACAGGATTCATCCTTGGAATGTGACTGTCCTGTTTTCCAGCACTAATTTCATTGTGATTCTAGAGATGAGCCCCAGTTAACCCTAGCAACTCTGAGCAAAATTTAGAGGAACATCTTGCTGTGAAACATCAACACGTCTAGCTAGAACAGGTTTTTTGTTATAGATTCCAAAACATTGGGACTGTAGATTTGTAGTGAATAGACTGGAATAAATTGAATGCTACAAAAAGATTACAGGAATCTGGTTCAGTATGCAAAAGGCTTTTAATAAAAGAATGAAATGGGGTCAGGAAGAAAAAGAAAAGATGTGTGGTTTGATTACAGGGTGGACCAAAAGTTACTGAGAGATTATATAGAAAGAAATAATACCAAATCACACTTGGAATAATCTACCTATAGACAGTGCAAAGGACTGTGATAGACTAGTATTTTGTTTGGCATATTAATAAGTTGCAGAAGTACTTTACTCAATGATTCATCAAATGCTTGTTTTATGGATGTGAATGCAGTATTATATTTTTGTGGCATTATCACTGATGTTTGGAGCATAGCCATTTGCAATGAATATAAAATAGTCTCATTTTCTATTTTTGCCATATACATATATAGTTATTTATGGGCAGCTTGATAAAGTGCATGAATCCTATTTTTGTTTACCAAAACAAGCCATTATGCAAAAAAAAAAAAAAGTGCCAGCTTCACCCTACAGTATTCCATGAAACAAGTCTTAACTTTTCTCCACTCTGGTGATCTAGTTTGACTGATGGAATGATGTTTTCAAAATCCAAGAGGGACTGAGAGCAGGCTTCTGCTTTAGTTGTGTTGCTTTCTTTGGGATGCTACTGAGTCTTGTGCTTCACAAAAAGATTCTCTTACAATGACCCTGAATGCTGTCTGCAGGATTCTGCTTTACCTTTTAGTGGCCTGGATATGCTACTTGAATATTAAATTACTGTAAAGTTCCAGGCTCCTTATAATGACCTTCAACTTACAGGAAATTTTCCATTTATCTGAATGCCATCTTTCTTGTTGGCTGATTTGAGAAATCCTCTGGCCTTTCACTGTGATCCCCCATTTCCTTTCGCATTCAGAGCACTTCTAAGATAGTTGCATTAGCTGTGTATCTCCTTCTTCTGAAACTCCTCATTCTACTGTGTTGAATATTTGACCTATCACTGTGCTTTCCTCCCATGCAGTGGTGCATTGTTTTGATTCTTTTTCCAAATATGTGAACTGGACTGTCTTTTAATAGACTACATGGGGTTGTTTCATACACTTCATTGGAAATGTGCACACTGATGTTGTGGAAATGGATACACAAGAGCAGTGTATGTACACAAACACACATTATAGGATAAAAGTACACAAAACATGGAGTTAACTCTGGCTTCTTATGACTGTATCATTTATTGTAGCAGATTGCTCTTGAACATTTTATTTCCAAAGAATTCCTTATCAGGTCCACAGAGAGAAAATAGGATTAAAGAAGTAAAATGCTTGCCTTTTGTGAAACAAGAAAAATCTGCATTGCTCAGAACAAGCAGCTTGTAAGGTTAGTTCCAAAACGGCAGGAGAGAGGTACACCTCTGTTAATAGACATCTTACAAAATATCCAGCATACGTAAGTTAAGGCATTCTAGATAAAATTGTGATAAGCCAGAAATCTGCTCTTGATTCTATCATTCAAATCTATCGTTTTTCTCTTCTTTATAGTTCTAGCTTTATCTCAGCCTCTTGTCTCTGAATGTGCTTGCTTTCTGTCCAGTTGGAAGACATTCATCCATCACTTTTCTTCTGTAACCCCCCCCCCCTCTTCATTGGTGTGCTTCACTGTTCTGGGTGGCAAATTTGGAAAATAGGTTATAAAAGCACCAGTGCACCTTGAACCCTAGTGGTGCTGTTGTCTTTCCATTGGCATAGATTTTCCAGCAAACCTTTGGCCTAAATGCAACTGCCCCTCATTCCTTTACTGGCACTAGTGTTTTTGATATATTTGGCACTTTAACCCCTAGAAGCCATTTCTTCTGCTAATAGTACTATAGCAAGAAGCTGCTTTAGGAGCGCAGTGTGGATGCTTTCTTTTATAGCCCTGTCCCTCTGTATCCAAAGCATTAATGCCTTCATATTTAGCATAGAGTATAATATACTCCAGGTAGTGGGTAGGACACCTCGGCCATAGCTCTTAGTAGTGTGTGTGCCCCCTACTCCCAACCAATTTTTAAAAAGTGATGCGCAACATTTAAACTTTTTTTTAAGGTGAAAAGACATTCAAATGACCTTAGGGACATGGCCAGTATATTGTTTTTCCTCTGCCCGCTGATGATTCAATGTATATTTTTGATGTACCATATAAATATATATATATATATATATATACACACACATATACACACACATATATATTATAAAAATGTTGAAATAAAAGTAAAAATATTTTGATAATCAAATTTACTTGATCTCCTGTGTTGCTTGATTGATAAAAACAAACTGTTGGGCTAAAGATCAACGTGTGCTTGATTCAGGTCAATCTTCGACCATGGGAGTTCACTGAAGGAGTTTGGGCTAGTCACTTTCACCCCAAAAGGCCAGTATTTTAGAGGAAATTAGGGAAGGGTGGTCCATAAACTGCCTTGAACTACTGGAGGAAAGGACATAAATTAAACATTTTAATAAGAGGAAACAGCTGTCAGTTCTCTTGACATGGTAGTGGATGATGGGATATATCTGCAGTTCATCTGCAGGTTGCATTGAACTTCAGGTTAAAATGCTTTGCAAATTTTTCAATGTCTTTAGCAGCTAATGCAGTGAATTCATTATTACTATTAGGAATCTATTACATGATTACAGCAGTGTATAAAATTGATCAATAACAGTTAATTTTCAGAGCTGGCATCTGTCACAAAAGGTCCAAGAGAATTATCTTTATACAATTTACCCAAGGCTCTTGAACCAATACTTGACTAAAAGAATACTGTAGTGATGAAGGCCTGGTCTATACAAATCTTAGATGAGATAAATTAAACTATTCTTGGGTTACGCCGTTAAAATTGTACCTTCATAAAATAAAATCCTTCTGGCTGTTGAAAACTAGTCATAATGAGGGATTCTCTACTAATATCCTTGTCATCCCAATTTTATCGGTTAATGACTTTTCTTGAGTGTGTGCCGGGGTGGGGATGGATAGATCTTTATTATGAGCCACTTACAGACACATCCAACTGAGGCATGCTTTATTTAATGCATTACATTTTGTTGTATTTGCACAACACATGCAAACCAAACCAGATTTTGATAATATATATATAGGTTCAGCTATATAGCTAAAAGTATACAGGTAAAGTATATAGGCAAAGACAATTTTCCTCTGAATTCTCCTCAGGATGTTGCATCTCCTCACAGTTAAGAATTAGTGGAAAAGAAATGACTTATCAATGCAGTAGAAATTCTATACAATATATTTGCAGCAAATGAAAATTATAGAATAAATTGACAGCTCCCATTTATTTCTAGTAGCTTTGTTTAGAATAGCTTTTGGGTGCACTGCACTCTATTTAAACATGTACTTGAATACCAAGGAAGAAAGCTCCAAATACTGTTTCACCTAGCCCAAATTTATTTTACCAGAACTTAAGATAATCTATTGAACCCAGGCCTTGGAGCTAAGGCAGTTTGGAGTTCTTTTTAGATCTGTATTGTTAACAGACAATGGACATCTTGACTGATTCTTATCAAAGGAATATATTTCAGGCCAGTCCACTGGTCAATGTCTGATCTCATCAGTTTGCTACATTTAGTCTCTACGTTTAGCTCAGAACTGTATTTTCCAGAGTCCTTGATGATCTCTTTGTGGTCTTTGCTTAAGTTTGCAATTGATAATCATTATACCTCTTACAGAATAGAACACCAGATCCCTACATGCCATCTTTGACCTTCTAGAGGCAGCAAGAGAAGATAAGCATGCAGAGGTATTCTTGCTATGTGCCCACACAAATGCATGCCAGCTGAGCTTTCCATAAACTAGCTTGGCACACAGACAAACAACATGTTGCTCTAGCCAACGTTTTTTTCAATTGCGGCATGTGTTTGCAAGTAAGAAATGGTAGCTAGAAGGGAAGGCCATGTTAGTTCTTTATTCGGCTCTTAATTATTTACCCTCCACACACAAACACATTTTCCCAGTCTGGCTCCTCAATCAGAAACAAAATTAAAATGTTATGAAAAAAACTGGTAATAAACAGGAAGATCAAGTATCTCCTGTTGCCCCTCTATTTCCTTCTGCACTGTCTCTTTATGCAAATTAATTTGTTCTCGTGGTTTCTCTATGGTTTAGCTACAACGAGGTAAGTCACATGAGTATGATGGGCATTACTTCAGAATACAGTACAGGTAGCCCTCAATGTATAACCATTGATTTAGTGATTGTTTGAAATTACAACAGCACTGAGAAAAGTGATTTGTGACCATTTTTCACATTTACCACTACTCATCCCCAGTCACATGACCAGAATTCGGTCACTTTCATATGTATTTATAAGTGGTCCTGGAGTCACGTGATCACCTTTTGCGACCTTCTAATAAAGTCAACTGCAGTGATTCACTTAACAACTACAGCAAGAAGGGTTATAAAATGGGGCAAAACTCACATAACTGTATTGCTTAGCAACATAAATTATGGACTCAATTGTGGTTATAAATTGAGGACTACTTGTATTGTAATGTAACACAATTTTTATTCTTATTCCAACAATGAGTTGTATTTGCTGACATTGTGGCACTTATAGATTAATAGACATTTTTCTTTAACATTCTTTTTGCAAATACGTAAGATTTTTTTAAGGTTTAATTTCTTTCACAAAGACCTTAAATGGAAAATAATTATCTTTGAATTTTTCAAAAACAAATATTTTGCTAATAACAATGCCATTTTTGTCCAATTTAAATCTTTCTGTTTAAATTATCTTCCCAATCCCCTCTCCCTAATCTATACTGGAAAAACTGGAAAAATAATTATATTCACATTGATGTTGGGAAAGCTAAAATACATTTTTTTTAATTTATTGGTATCATCTATTCTGACTGGGACACTGTGTTCTGTATTGTATTCAATAAAAGTTGATATTCCACAAACAATTCAGAGCAGTGTAGAATCTGTTTTTAATCTGCACTTCCAAGAGTTCATAAGCAACTAACATAGGTATCATTTTTCAATGCATTATGGAATAACATTACTCTGAGTTGAATCCATTTTATCATGATATCAGTTATATAAATTGTTACATCCATTATCCAAATCAGGAACACAAAGTCACAATGTTTGGAAGAGACATTCACAAAACAATCAAGATCAAATCCAGATCAAGGGAATTAATGATATATAAAAGATCACTAAAAACTATTATTCTCAAATTTATTTTTTGTTGATCAATAATGTGCTTTCCCACAAGTTTCTATTTGTATGTTTCCTCTTCTCCACGACTTGGTATCCTTATAAAAGTGCAGTTAGCGTCTAAAAAAACCATTCTAGAATCTGCTAATTCAGGAACATGGAAGATGGTGGATTAATTTGGCCAAACGGGCTCCAATACTGAACTGAAGGAACATTCCATTATTATTTTTACTCATGTTGCTATATCCATGGCTCATCCCTCCCTTTTCCACAACCTAGGAGATATTTCTGGTAACACTGGATATTTCTATCATGCTACCCTTCAGGGTCCAAATCAAGAATATACATTAGTACCCCTAAAAGCTATTTTCAGATTTAAAATGTGGGTTCTTTAAAAACAGTAAAAAAAACAAAATGAGTCTGAGTAAAAGAATGTTAAAAACCCAACCTTTAATGTGGTTTATGTCAGGTTGACAGTGTATTTAATACACTAGGCACTAGACATATGCAGGAACTACCTGCTCGATTTTTTAAAAATTATTATTTTGTGGAAAATAATGAAAAAGTTCTACATTCCTGCTTTGGATTTGGAAAGTTCTTTCTACCAAAACAAAAACAAATGACATAGAGATAGGAACAAAAGAAGTGCCTTTATCTAGTATCTGCTACTAGTTTGTGCTCTGTGGCAAGGCCAGCCCTGCCCTACATGCATACGTTTTTGCCAGCAATAGTGAGTCCAGCACCTGTGGGTTTCATCCATCCACAGAACCACTGCTTTTGTTCTTGCGGCTGAGTGGGAAGGTGGACTTGCTCTGTGGCTGTGTCATTTTGCTCGCTAAGTAAACAAAGGGGTCAATGAGACTCCGACGGTCAGCAACTGAGATTTCCCACAGTTTTACTTTCTCTGCCTTTGCCCAGTGTTGGGCTATATCGTGGTCCACACGGCGTTGTTCCTGCAAATCACATTTGTTGCCTAAGACCACAATAGTCACCTATGAAGATTGGAGGAGAGAGAGAGAGAAAATCTAGTACAATGTCAAATGCACAAAAAGCTCCAAATCCCAAGATGCTCTTACATAAATTTTATTAAAGAATAAAAATTATGAAAACGTAATACAAAGTAAAGAAAGAAAAGGACCAAGAAAGGACAAAAGAGCAAAAAGAAAAGATAAATAGAAATAGAAAAAGCTTCTGATTTCCTTTGCAGTAAATACAAATATGACCACCTAGTTATCTATGATTATTAAAAATTTTAGATTATGTACTATTTTTAACAATCAAAACCTCAAATCAAAAGCTGACTTTTTCTGTTTCATGGAAAAAACTATAAGGGGTTTTAGAGGCAGCGATAAATGTAAATAGTCTTTTCTCTAATCAAGGTAGTCAGTTTAGCCATTGCTGCAAATTCCATCATTTTCACCATCCATTCCGCCATTGTGAATCAAATCCCAGGATGCTTATGACACACTGGAACAGGGCCACCCAGGATATTCGGATGCCTGAGTCAAGGGAAAGCATTCTTTCCCCTTCAGACACTGATTTGTCAGCTGAAGATTGCTTCTAGAAATACAACAGGATGGGTCCTTCAGTGCACTTAAAAATAATCCCAGCATGCTTGCTAGTGCCCCCCCACAACCCCAATATGCCATCCCTGCTTCTTACTGCTCTTTTGTGCCTGCCAGCCAAATTGTCTGCCTTAGGGTTCCATTTATACCATTCTCTGAAAGACTCGTCCTCAGCAACTGTAGCATTTAGCTGATGTTGGTGGATTTAAGAAAGCTAAGTAGGGTTGGAACTAGTTAATATTTGGATGGGAGACCACAAGAAAATCCCAGGATTTTGGATTTGACTGAGAATGCAAAAAGGAAAGAAAAAGGGTCCCATTAAGGTACAATGGCAAATCATTTCCACATTATTTGCTGAGTTTGACCAAAGAGAGAGACTTATGTGACCATACAATCACACACCAACATCACACAGATATTGTGACAGGAGAGATTATTAGCTTCCAATTTTCTGGCTTGATAAAAAGGGACAAGGGGCTAGGAGCTTCTAATGATGGGTGGAAACTCTTGTTTCTAGAATTGGGGTTTCTCCCCCCCCTCCAAAGCTGCCAAAAAAAACCCACCCCACTCTACAGGCAGCCCTTTTTAATGGCCACATTTGGGATCAGCAATGCAAGTATTAAGCCAAGTGGTCACCAAGTGAAACAACAACTGTGCTTACCAACTTACGTCAGCTTTTCTTTGCTTTACAGACCTACGAATGTTATACATAATTGGTCACAAAGTTATTTCTTCAGCACTATTATAATTGTGAACAATCATTGTTCAGGACAACTGGTAAATGAGGACTACCTGTACATTTTCTAGGTAGAAAAATAAATTAAGATGTTTGATCGATGTACCTCTCTAAAGAGAATCAGCATAGCACATGACTTCCATAACTTAAACATATGTTTTTTGTAAAATAAAGATGTAACTATTATGTAACAATTGTTTCTCCTAAAAAAATGAAAAATGTAATAATACCTTGGAAGACTGGGCAAAGAGATGCTGATGTCTGGCCCCAAGCTCAAAAATGACAAACGGCGATTCTTCCCAGCTGAGTTCTTTATTGTTTCCACATCTACAGGAGAATCTTACCAGGCTGAGGACTCTACTATTTGCATCTACCATATGTTCTGGGAATTACTAGGGAGGGACTGTTTTCACCTTCTTTCTCTCACACAAAATACCTGTCCACTGGAATGGTCTCCTCCCTCTTGGGAATCCACCCAACTACACTACATCAAAGCTGCTTAGGGAACAGTCAGATAAGTTTAATCCGCACCTGCAGACTGGGTGGAGCAAGAGTCTCAAGAGGACTCTCCCTAAGTCATTGAGCTGTGGGTGATGGCAGGCTTTTATGACATGAGGATGCTGAGAGCCAGTTCAGCCTAGTGGTTAAAGCAGTGGTAGTAAACCTGGTCTCTACCGCCCACTAGTGGGCGTTCCAGCTTTCATGGTGGGCAGTAGCTGTAACTGCTTTATAAATTTTATAAAGTAAAGTTATTTCCCTACTTTATAAATCACCATTACTGTGGAACCGGTGGGCGGTTAGAAAATTTTACTACTAATAGAGATACAAAAGTGGGCGATAGGTATAAAAAGGTTGACTACCCCTGGGTTAAAGCATAAGGCTAGAAGTGAAAGATCATGAGGTCTAGTCCTGCCTTAGCCATGAAATCTGACAGTGACTGACCATGGGCCAGTCACTGTCTCAGCCCAATTCACCTCACAGAATTGTTGTAAGCGAAACAGGAGAAGGAAAATGTGTTGGATATGTTCGCTGCCTTGAGTTATTTGTAAAAATAATACAGGCAATCTGTCAACCAATGTTCTCCAAATTTCTCCAAATAGGAAAAGCTTCAGAAAATAATTCCACCTACCTCCTTCTTATCCTTGTTTTTGTCTATTTCCTTCTTGAGAATCTCCACTCTCTTGAAAGACTCCTTGCTGTCAATACTGTAAACCAGTACAAATCCATCCGTGCAAGAGAAGCAATGCTTGGGCAACTCCGAACATGGGGAAGCTCCATCCCTCAAACCTCGTGTGTCATAGAAACGCACCTGTTCACGCATATTCCGGTCCGTTTCAATGGAACCTACATAAATGTCTTCCTGAGTTTCAATCATTTCTGCACCTGCAGAGAGTCAATCAGACAATATATAAGAATCTACCAAAAAAAAACCTGAATCCTGCTCCTAGAAAGACCTACACAGGTATCTAGAATACTTTCTGCTAACTGCAACTGCTAAACGTTTAATTATTGTTTCAGTGTTCTTAAGTTACTTCAGCAAGAACATGGAGGAAAAAGTGTGCATAACTGGGAGGCACAATATACCAAATAAAAAGGAAGTTTGATTTGGGGACACAATGTGATGGGCAATAGTGTAAGAGTGATTCAACTCACCATAGTTAGCATGACCACATTAGGTTATCATCACAGACAAACTCAGGGCCTACAATTAATTTCTAGTTCAATCGATCAGGTTAATTCACAGGAATAAGTAAATAATTCTGTATATCATCCCATTGTATGTGCATGTCAACAAACGGGAGCAATTATAAGCAGATAACTTGCCAGTTTGAAATGATGTTTTTCATGCTTTGCCTCAACAACTTTTCCTTAAAATGTCATTATTTTGCCACATGTATTTCTACATCTGTCCCTATATGAATGAAAAATAAATTGGTTGAATTTGCACATTACATTGAGCATAGTACACATTGAACATGCTTTATTAAGCAAACTTACATGTTATTCACGATTCTCAAGGCAACAGGTTTAACTCATATAGGTAGTCTGCAACTTACAACAGTTCATTTAGTGACCATTTGAAGTTACAATGGCATTGAAAAAAGTGACATGATTGTTTTTCACATTTACAGTCAAGTGATCAAAATTCAGATTCACCTTTTGTGGTCTTCTGACAAATCAATGGGAAAGCCAGATTCAATTAACCATGTTCTAACTTAACAACTGCAGTGATTCACATAACAACTGCAGTAAGAAAAAATGTAGAATGGGTAAAAATTCATTTAATAATTAGCAACAGAAATTTGGGGCTCAATTTTGGTTGTGGTAGTTAAGGGCTTCCGCTACATGTTAATAACACCCAAATAAAGCTATTTAATGTTCACACGTTGCACTAAGCCATAGTATGATATGTTTCCTGTAGGCTTAGTATGCCCGAATCCATCAATCTCCTTTGTTAGTCCTGTGTTGTGCCACTCAGCCAACTGTGGTTATTGAAGGAAAAAATCCTAAGCAGATCATGAATTAGCAGTCAATGAAACAGAAAAGCCTAAAATGTATGATCTGGGCAAAATAGCAAAGAAATAAGATTTCCCATTTAATGCCAACACTCACCAACAATATGATTCCCATACAGAAGCTGTTCCAGGATCGAAGTCTTCCCAACTGATGCTTGCCCACATACTACCACTTTGCAACTCTTCCCCATTATCTGGACAATACAAAGAGGAAACAATCAAGAAGGATATACTGAAGATGCGTGGTGAAAACATGCCTAAATGAAGATATATATGCAAACACCACTATTGCTCAAGGCTGGCTTGGGCTGTTCAGAGAAGGAGTCTCACAAATTATAATAACCAGACTATTTTAATCTTAGGCGCTGGTACACTGGTAAAAGACATGAGCAGAACTTCATGGGGCTTTAAAATGGCAAATGCTTGGACAGAGTCAAGCAGAACGAAGAGGAAGAACAATGAATGCATCTGTTATTTGCAAGAAATAGAAAGTGTTTCTTAAGGCTTGATAATTTAATATTTACAAATAGAATTGAATTTTTTTTCCTGCCATGGTTGGCCCTGTGTTATTCACATATATACTGACCTCAAAGTTTCTATCTGACAAAAAAGGAACATTAATGAATTTGCTCAGATCTTGATGTAATTCTTTTCTCCATAGTGATTCTCTGCATAAGAATTTCTGATCTGTACTAACTCATGTATCTGGATATACTCATTTGTCATATGGTCTGCATTAATTTGCCTTAGTTTTGGATCTGGTTTTGAGTTGGTGGACTCTGCATTCCAGTGAAATCAAATCTAATTTTATTCTCTCATAGACCAGTAAATGCACCAGAGTGACAATTAAGATAAAGGAAAAACATGATTATTCTAAAAATATGTTTTTTTTTTAAAGGATTAGAGTTAATATAGTATATAGTGCAGACAGTAGAATAAGAACATGGCTTGGGTTTCCAGTCAAAATGAAGTAAAGCCTAACATTGTAGGAAAGGTGTCTCCAACCTTGGCAACTTTAAGGCCTGAGGAGTTCAAGTTATAGAATTCCTCAGCCAGCTTTGCTGGCTGAGAAATTCTGGAAGTTGAGGTCCACAAGTCTTAAAATTGCCAAGGTTGGAGACCCCTGTTCTAGGAGACAGAATCAAGGCAATCTGTCTTTACGCTTCATCTCTAATTTTACTCTTCTTTTATTACTCCTTTGCTTTTAGTCTCTTTACATTTTGTTTCTCTACCCTGCCTGCTTGGTGCCTCTAAATTCCAGTCAGTGCTGGAATCAAACAAGACTTACTGATGCTTTTAGAGTTTCAGAAAGAATCCTTCTGCCCCTTCAGTTTTTTCCTGGCATAAACATGATTATCCTAGAAGAAACAGTAACATCTTTCCCTCCTAATCATCCCACATTAATAAGAAGAGAACAGAAAAGTAGCTGAGATTTCTACTAGCACTAATAGCAGCATTGAGCAATTTTAGGGGTGGGTAGAAGGCAGGGTTTAAAAAATTTTTAGAACCTCTTCTATAGGTGTGGCCTGCTTTGTGGGAGAGGCTTGCAAGCCATGTGACTGGATGGGAGTGGCTTGGCAGTCATGTGGCTGGGTGGGAGTGGCTTGGCAGTTATGTGACTGGGTGGGCATGGCCAACTTGTAAAACGTGGTGAAACTCACTTAACAACGCTCTTGCTTAGCAACCAAAATGTTGGCTCAGAAACTCTGGCATTGGAAGCACGCAAGTCTTAAAGCTGTCAAGTTACAAGACCCTTGCACCCCTAACCCTTTAGAAAAAAAACCCAGAGGTGTTCGAACTTGACAGCTTTAAGACTTGTGGACTTCAACTCCCACTATTCCTCCTCTCGCTCTTCATCTTGATGATTTGTGGACGGGCGGGGGGAGGGAGCTGGAACCGGTTCTAAACGGCACTGTAGATTTGTGGAACCTCTTCTATAGAAGAGGTTAAAACTGGTAGGAACCCACCACTGGTAGGATGGGAATTTCCTTTTGCTTCCTTGTGTTTCTCATTTTAGGCCAAAAGCAAGTCAATTCATTTTTCCTAAGTAATTTTTAAGCCGTTCACACAATGAGGCACATCTAGAAAGAAGCTGCTGTTTACAGTACTATTATGTTAGTTTTAGAAAAGCTACTTGTCTGAAAGGTTGGCCAAAGAAAAGAAGAAGTTGAAAAATAAAAATAACATGTAAGCAGCTTCCAATATACATTTCTTTTCATCTACAGCTAACATTAAAATTGTAAACCAAAAAATAAATGAAACAGTGATAAGGGGTTTCAGGATCCAATCTGGGTTGATAACTGGACCCAGACAGACCCAATTTGAATCCTGCAACTTATCCTGGGCCATGTGTATTTGGCTTCATTCATAAGGGGGTTTCCTCTGAGAATGCAGTGTCCTATCTAATCATCAATCTGAATATGTATCCTGTATTATTTGCCTACTCTGAATATTTTTATGAAGGGCCCTTGGTGTTCTCTGGGCTTGGTTGTTTTCTTGCAGATCCTTCATTACCCAATTTCTGCTGGGATGATGAAGTTGATGACTTGATAACATCTGCAAGCAAACAACCAAGTTCAGAGAACACCATGGACCCCCTCATTTCAACCGTGAGCTACAAATATTATCTTTTATTGGAATATTTTTATGTCTCTGATAACCAAAATTGTACAATGGAACAGGAAAGCCACAGTATCACCAAGTAATGTTCTTGTTTTTTAGATGGGTGAAAGTGAAAGCTGTGTTTACCAATTGGTATTGCTTCTGTGCCACATTTAACTTATTAAAATTTTATGCTACCCATTTCCCCTGTAGATTAACTCTTATTTTCTACATAATTCTACATAACTCACATAATAATTTCTACAATAATTTATATGTGAATGTATAGTATATGATTAAAGTTACATATGTTTAAATATAAATACAAGAATAATTTTAGTCTGTTTAATCTATATTTTCTACAGATCAACCAGGATTTATCCACACCACAAACATAGAGGAATAAATTAGGGAGCACTGGTACAAATTTCCATTGTTGAGAAGAGTTATTCCTTTAATCTTGTGTAGTGCTCAGAGAAATGTATCACACTGCAATGGCAAATGCTGTTTCTTACATTTCATGACACTTTGGCTTTTTTATTTGCGCATTAATGGTCTCACAAACAAGGCCTGCCTGACATCTGATAAAAGCCAAGTTGTCAAAAGCCAATATCATCATTTATCAATTAATCTTCAAGGCACTGCAAGCTTCTGGCGGGTTAGATAAAACTCTAATTAAACAGCTGGTCGCTGCTCCTTAGAGAGGGGACTGGGCTCATTTGCAAATCTATCATAGGTGAAATTAATCGCCGGTACAATTAGCGTGCAAATCCATACAATCGCTATTGCGTTTCTAAAAGCCTGCATTTTTTTCCTTAAAACTCGATTAACAAAAACAAAAAACATCAGCCAATCCAAGGCAACTTACCTTCCCGACCCAGGCACTGCTCTGCAGTCTTCAGCAAAGAAAGGAACCGAGGACCAACAACTCGACTTGACTGAGAGAAAAGACGTACGTGGGAACTGCAGCCCACAGCTCCATCTAGAGCACTGTCGCCGGTGTGATTTACTCTCGTTTGCGATCCAGTTAAGATATTTAGGAAAAGGTAACAGCAGCGCATTGCAGTCAAACACAGGATGGAAATAAAAAGCTGAGCTCAGCAATTTTGCTATAACCGGGACTATTTTTCATTTTAAATTTTATGAAAATTATACGATCAAGAGGAGGGCTATCGATCTTAAACAAACGGGGGATATAATGAAAGTAATAAAGCAGTACCTTTTCCCCCTCCTTTTCTCTGATTGAATTCACATATTTATACTAAAGCAAATTTTGTTTGGCAAGAGTACTGGTAGCAGAAAAATGGGAAATTAGAATAGAATATATTGGCCAAGTGTGATTGGACATTTGTCTTTGGTGTAAGTGCTCTCAGTGTACATAAGGAGAATAAATACATTCATCAAGAATAAAAAGATACAACACTTAGTGATAGTCAAGGTAAATGCGAATAAATACATGTGAGTATTTTGACTGTAAATATGATGCCGAAAAATGTTTAAGGTTTGGATATCTTCGGTTGATGCAATGGCTGTGTTCATGTGGCCTTCTTGATTAACTGATCTATGGTTTATGGAATTAACACAATTTTCTGGGTTTCACATAATATGAAGAATGTTTCCAATACACAGGTTGGCTTTGCAGAGCACCTTAGGCTGAAACATAGTTGATTAGTTTTTATTATCGTGCTCATGCAATTAGAGCTGGTGTATTGAAGAATGAATCAATTATTTCTCCTGGAATAAAAACATATCAATGTATGAAATTGTCATCTAGTGCTCTATTGCTAAAGTAACTAAGCAATAAAAATATAAAAATATAAGCATCTTGCTTTTGTGGCTAGATACCAAAAATACCCTCTTATAGAATTCCTTCAAACCGTATTTTCCATTGTTATAGCAGAAGAAACCTGCCTATCTATAGATAGAGCTTATTCCTAACTAAGTATAAACAGATTCTGAAAGATTGAAGCACAGTGCTATGAAAAAGAGATCTGAAAATAGACCGGTCCCGACTTCCAGGGTTTTTTTTTCTGTATATTTTTGCCTGAAGACAAATGACTATTTCCAACTCCTGTTTGTCCAATACCTAAGCAAAATCGTCCCCCTCCCTTGGAGGACTCGCTTCCCAACCGGAAGTGGCCTCTCTAACCCCGATTCTTCTCTCTCCGGATATAGAAGGAGGAACTTCCGCCTCGTTCCTTTTTGCTTTCTCTCGTTCTCTCTCCTCGGCTCGCCGGCCGTTGATTGCAGCAACAAGAAACCAAGATGGCGACGGCGGGCGGAGATGGCGACGTGATTATGGCGCCCGCGGCACCCCCAACGGTGGCTTCACATTCCTCGATGCCGCTGATGTTGAGCGAGGAGGACGAGGGGACGCGCAGGTAAACCCTCCGCCACCTGTTCGGTCCCTGGGAAGGAGGTTTTTTGCCCCCGCGGAGGGGGAGGGGCTGCTTCGAAGCGCGGGGGGGAGAGAGGACAAGAGGCGGAGCCTGCTTCACTGCCGCGGTTGCGGGGGGGGGGAACAGAAATCGGGCTTCTTTTAGAAAAGTAGCTTGTAAGGCATCCCCTGCGATTTGTTATCGTTGTCATTAGTCGTCTCTTCCTCCAAAGGGTCACGAATGAGAAAACTCAAGCTTAAGCCAATTAACGAAGGGTAGTTAAGAGAAGCTCTCACTCTCATTGAGGAACAATGCACGCCTAACATTCAGTGTGTTGAGGAATAAATCATGCAGGTTCTGTGGTAACTTCTGGCCTCCTTAGGAGATGAATTGCTGGATGAAAGAGACCTTACAGTCTGATCAATATTTACATTTAACTGTGAATTTCCCAATTTCAAGGTATAACGGGTTTAAGCTGGAGATTGGCCTCCTATGGCATGTCTCTCTGTATATAGTTGCAGGCTTCCTGCTGAATTCCATTATTCTTGTAATTCAGTTACTATAGCTCTCCAAGTACTTTCCCACAAAGGCTTATTACAAAAACCCTATATATATAGGTTCTGAAGAGGAACCAGAAATACATATGTTTGGGTAATGTTTTTACTATTATTTTACAGACAAGTTATTTGACCATCAATTACTGTACAATTGGTCTCTTTGTTTTAGATATTGTGCAAAGTATACGACTTGGAATATGGTTTGGTATATAAATGATTTCTTTTTTATCTCAGCACTTCAAGAACATCCCACTAAATAAACATATGTTAGTTAGGGTAGCAGCTGTTCTTGCCATGGGAAGCTTCTAGATAATGAGAAGTGCCACAGTAGTCAGTGAAACATTTAATAATAATAAATTTGTGTTAAATCTTATTTGGAAAAAAACATTTTGAATTTCATTTTGGGTTATCACAGGGAAGTGAATTTTCTCATCTTGATTCATAAGATTTATAATCACTGCATAATAGTGTAGGCACTTGCATGTGAAAATGAATGCAGTACTTTTATAAGAAAACCATTCTTGGTTGGGTGGTACTTGGTTTATAGCAAGTGACTCCTCTGAGAAAAATCATAGCTCATCTGGAAGTTTGTAGTGTCAGGCTATACTTTGACTGGCTGGGCAAGCAGAAAAAAAGGTGAAGAAAACATGAATCTGTTGGCTATCATTAATTACAAAATCAGATGTATGATTTGAAAAGAATTCCTGTTTCTCCTGTTATTCAAAGGATTCACACCTTATTTCAGACTTCTCTTCTGCCCTAAAGCTAAAGGTACCTAACAGTAAATGCTTATTATAATTATATATAGAAACTGTGACATATATAGTTGGGTTGTAACACATGTACTCCTGGGACATTGGATGATAGCCAACACTTGTAATTGACAGTTTGCTAGGGTGCATAGTGTGGTTTATCCTCAGGGAACCTTCTGAATTGGATAAGTGAGCAATAATTTATGTTAGCAAGCTTGGCTAGGATTTGAATATGAGTCTTCCAGTTAAATATTCCATAATGGAATTCAAACTATTAGATTCCCTAATGACAGTTGACCACCAATTAAACGTATTGACTTTTTTCCTCCTTGCAAGATTGCAAGGTGATCTACAATTTCCAGCGAAATAGTGAATGAATAACTTAGTTTGTGGGGTTAGAGAGTGAAGGAGAATTAAAATCAACTTCCTAAAAGAACCATAATTTTAAGATTATTAAACTATTAATAGCAGTTGAACGTGACTTATTCAGTGCATCATAGTTAAATTATAGTTAGTATGATATATGAATTCAGCCATATGTTATTGTACCAATGTTAGATAATGGTTGAGATTATTAAAAAGTACAGTTATATATATCAATACTGGGAGTTAAAAAGGAGATACGTACTACAAATACAGGAGAAAAAGAGACCATGTTAAATCTTGCATATCAGGCATTTATAATGACTTATCAATGTTCCCAGAACATGTTTCAGAATCCTTTGCAATATTTATAGATTCCTTATCAATTGTGTGGGAAGGGTTCTCCCCAAATTTAAAAACCTAGCCAGTACAACTTCCATAACTTGAATTGCCTGTTCACATTCTGAGAATATATATGCTACTTCACAAAAAGCGCTTGGGTTCTGGCAGGATTTCTGTCTTGGGCCAGTCTCTAGTAGGGCTGTGCAGCATTTTGTAATTATGTTTCTGAGAGCATGGAAACAAAAATGTAACCCTTATTTGTTAGACATTTTAGAACAAGAGTGAAATGGCTTCACAACTGTTGTGATTAGGAATGCTGGCAACCCTAAGCAAAAAGTTTCTCTCTCACTACAGGCTAACAAGTCCATCCGGCCAGAAGATGAATAGTCTGCTACATCTATTCATCTCTGCCCCCTGCCTTTTATCTCCAGAGCTAGGATGGTGCTTTGTTAGCGGGGTGGCTCTTCCATCCCAAGAATCGGCCCACGGATTTCCACTGTTCTTCTCTCTTCTGTGTTCTACATATACACGTGTCAGGCCCTGGAACCAACTGTTCCTCCTCTTCCTCATCAGCCACCTGCAGACCTGGGGGCTGTTGACTCATCATCTGAGGGCTGACAGACAGCCCATGCTCTACCTCTGTCTCTCTGCTAGCTCCATTCCCTCTTCCCCCTCGGAGCTCTCAGGTTGACCCTGATTCCCACACCTCCTCCTCTGATTCAGCTTTTGGATGGAGCTAGTATCTAAAATGAGAGTTTATTCTAGCATAAATGTACTCTGTGCTATAGAGTCAGAGTAAATTCATTAACTTGATGGTTATAAAAACCTTAAGTACCATGTTTCCCTGAAGATAAGACCTAGCCTGATTTTTGAGTGTGCACCTAATACCCAAAATATAAGCGTTAATGAAGGGGGGTGGCCAGCACAGGAGGTGGCAAGTGCATGTGGGCCGACAGTGTCAGGTAGCAGCCGCAGCCCGCGCAACATAGGTGAGTTGAATCCCTGTCCAAGCACCAGATGGAGGTAGAGGTGCAGGGGGGAGACAGGCAATCTGGAAGTGTCACGCTGGTCACAGGAAATCTGAGAGTTGGTGGGCCAGAGCAACAGGTAGCTTCAGGTGGCTCATCATCGCGCAGCAGCACTGGCAGCAGACGGAGGAGGAGACACGGAGAGTAAGAAAGAAAACAACCGAGAAAGCAGTCAAACTCAGAAAGCACCAAGGGCCCCTCATTTCAGCCCTGAGCTACAAATATTCTCTTTTATTAATTATCTTAAATCAATTGTATGTTAAAAGCTTTGAATAATGAAATTGAAAAATATACTTTTATATAGTCACATGATAGCTCTGGAGTGATTGTTTCCAGTGGCCTATTAGTATGACACATTCAGCTGGTTTGAATTATGACACTAGGAAATTTTGGTAAATGGAGCAAAAGATAAAATGGCCTCTACTCCTTGGTCAGTTTTTTTTGTTTTTTGGCTGAACAAGTTGGGGTTTGGTTATTTTTTCCCCTAATTGTAATAGAAATTATATTTCCCCCAGGGAAAATGGGGGTTCTCTAGGCATTCTCTGTCCTTGGGTGTTTGGTTCTCTCTTTTTACCCCTCATCCTGCAACTACAAGGAGAAATGAAAAAGGGCAAAAAACAGGTTGGTGTATGATACTCAGTTACACTACCATAATTCCTATTCTTAAAAATTTCACTTTTTGCTAAAACCCAAATGGGAAATATACAAAAGGACTCAGTTATTTCATCTTGTGCAGAGGTTTTCCTTCTTAGCTGAGGAATAGAATTTTTCTAGCATTTTTTGCTGTGGTCATTAAGCAAACATATAGGCAGTCCTTGAGTTACAGTATTCATTTAGTGACCAAAGTTACAATGGCACTGAAAAAAGTAACTTATGACCATTTTTTAGTTGCAGCATCTTGGCAAGTAGTTCATAATTTTGACAGTTGAAGTGTTCCAGGATTATGTGATCATTTTTTGCAGTCTTCTGACAAGCTAAATCAATAGAAAAGCCAGATTCACTTAACAACCATATTATCAATTTAATGACTGCACTGATTCACTTACCGTATTTTTGGTGTATAAGACACACCGGAGTATAAGACGCACCAAAATTTTGAAGAGGCAATTTTTTTATAAAAAGTTTTTGCGTTCTACAGACCTCCCCAAAATGGCCTGTTTTTTGCGAAAATGGGCCCTTATTTTTTTAAAAAAAGGGCATGAATAACCTTTAGGAGGCTTATAGAGTGCTGGGGGGGGGGGGATAAGCAAAAAACAGGCCTGTTTTTTGTCAAAAAAAGGGGCGTGCACAGCCCGTTTTTCACTCATTTCTGCCCTCCCCAGCCCCCAGGAGCACTCTATAAGCCTCCTAAAAGCTATGCACGGCCATTTTGGTGAAGGTGGCAGGGTTTCGGGAGGCAAAACATGCCATATTCAGTGTATAAGATGCACCCAGATTTTCAGCTTCTTTTTTGAGGGAAAAAGGTGTGTCTTATACTCCAAAAATACGGTAACTGTAGCAAGAAAGTTCATAAAATGGGGCAAAACTCACTTAACAAATGTCTCATTTAACAACAGAAATTTTGGCTTAATTGTCATAAATCAAGGATTACCTGTAGTGATAATCATTAAGTGAATCCATTCTAATAGTGTTTTTTGCCAGAAACCAATAAATAAAACTAGAAACTGATAAAAAAAATTCACCGATTGCGGCTACTTGACTGCAGTTAATGTTGTGACTATTTACCAAGCACCTGGCATGACCTCACATGATGGGGGGGGCGGGGGAAACACTACTAATTATAAAAGTTTTAAAGACTATAAAGCACCAGTTCCATTGCCATTGTAAATACAGGTGGCTGTTAAGCAACCAGTAAGTTAAGAGCTTCCTAAATATATTTGTCCACAAAATTATCAACTGAAAATAATATATGTAGGTTAGGGTGCTTGGTGATCTCTGAACATAAATATTTTCTTGTAGAT